CCTAATTACGGAATCTTATCTACCAAAAACACTAAAACAATCATACCTCCCAAGCGTCATGTATCTGATGGAGATGGTGCTGGAAGGAAACTCATAGGATGCAGCTATAAGAAAACACATACTCTATGCTAATCCCTCTCTAATTTATGCTTTCATCCTTCAAGTAAATCCATAACTTCTAACAGCAGTGTCCAGTGAGGCAGGAAGTCAATGGGCGGGGTAAAAGAGTGTGCCACTGGCGCGAATCACGTGACAAGACCTGCCAAAAGGGGTGAACATGCCCAAAAAGGGGCATGTTTGTCCAAAGAATTGGAAGGTCAGCCTGGCATGAATGCATGTCAGGCTGCCTGCCAATCCTGCAGGCTGTCCAACTAAGGGCATACTATGCAGGCAGCACCTTGAGCTTGACATAAATGCGTCTAATGATGCGCTCACTCCATTCTTTCTAAGGACTGTCCCCTAGCACTCGCTGGTCCACTTGTCTCCTTACCTTCTTACTAGCAGGCAGAAGTTCCTGGTATATAGTCTGAGACAGAGAAAAGATGTCTGTAGTGAGTGTAGAAGAAAGGGGACATGCCACAGTGTTAGAGAGACCAACGTCTGCATTACCTAAACTAACTTTAATTTCAGCAAGTGCACACAAGTTTTGTTCCCATACATCCCTCTTAATCTTCCAAACTTAAAGGGACACTATAGTCACCAGAACAACTACAGCTTATTGTATTTGTTCTGGTAAGTAGAATCATTCCATTCAGGCTTTTTGCAGTAAACACTGTCTTTTCAGAGAAAATAACTCCACTGGCTGCTCCTTAGATGGCTGCTAGAGGTGCTTCCTGGGGCAGTACTGCCTAGTGTGCAGCACTGCCATTCAGTGTCTCCACCCTCTGCATGCAGACACTGAACTTTCCTCATAGAGATGCATTGATTCAATTTATCTTTATGAGGAGATGCTGATTGGCCAGGGCTAGGTTGGACTTGTGCTGGCTCTGCCCCATATCTGCCTAGTTGACAGTCTCAGCCAATCCTATGGGGAAGTATTGTAATTTGCTCAGACCACCACTTCTGAGCCAGCAGCTGCAGAATTGAATACAAGTAATATTTTACTATAGTTAGGGAGGCAAGAAGGAGCCAGGGTGGTGGTTTTAACATAATAGGGTCAGAAATACATGATTGTGTTCCTGACCCTATAGTGCTCCTTTAAGCAAGAGTATGTGAAGAGTAGTTAAGGTTGCCACCTTTCTTGGAAAAAAATACCAGCCTTAATAATTTGTATAATTAATTAGTTATGCGTGACATCACATGATGTAAATCACAAGGAGTGACATCAGAGAAAATTCTGTAAAATCACCAAACTGCTCACAGTATAGATGGATTGCTCCCAGTGTCTCCCTGTCTCCCAGTGTCTCAGTCTCGCAAGTCACCCAGTGTCTCAGTGTCCCTATGTATCACAGTGTCAGAGTCCCCATGTCTCCCAGTCCCCTAGTCTCCCAGTGTCTGTGTCCCCATTTCTCCCAGTGTCCCAATGTCTCAGTGTGTCCCCATGTCACTAGGATACTGGGGACACTGAGAGACCCAGGGACACTGAGACCTGGGGACACTGAGGCATTTAGGGAAACTGGGAGAAATGGGGACACGGAGACACTAGGGACACAGACACTGGGAGACATGGGGACACTGAAACATTTGGGGAAACTAAGACACTAGGGACACAGACATGGGAACACAAACACTGGGAGACTAGGGGACACTGGCTGGGAGACAGACACTTGGGGACACTGGGAGACATGGGGACAGTTGTGGACATAGACATGTGGACACTGGGACATGTAGGGACACTGGGAGACATGGGGACACCAGGCACACTGAGACACTAGGAACACACTGGGAGACATGAAGACACTGAAACATTTGAGGACACTAAGACACTAGGGATACAGACACTGGGAGACTAGGGGACACTGGGAGACTAGGGGACACTGGGAGACTAGGGGATACTGGGAGACTAGGGGACACTGGCTGGGAGACAGACACTTGGGGAGACATGGGGACAGTTGTGGACATAGACATGGGGACATTGGGACACATGGGGACACTAGGCACACTGAGAGACATGGGACACAGACACTGGGAGACTTGGGGACACTGAAACACTAGGGACACTGGCTGGGGGACATAGTGTCTCCGTCTCCCAATGTCCCTATGTCTCACAGCGTCCCCATGTGTTTCAGCATCCCCATGTGTCTCAGCATCCCCATGTGTCTCAGTGTCCCCTAGTGTCTCAGTGTCCCCAGGTCTCCCAGTGTATGTGTCCCCATGTGTCCTAGTGTCTCAGTGTCCCCTAGAGACAGTGTCCCCATGTGTCCCCTAGTGTCTGTGTCCCCTAGTGTCTGTGTCCCCATATGTCCCCAATTGTCTCAGTGTCCCCATGTTTTCCAGTGTCCCCAAGTGTCTCAGTGTTCCCAGGTCTCCCAGTGTCTGTGTCCTAGTGTCTCAGTGTCCCCTAGTGTATGTGTCCTCTAGTGTCTCAGTGTCCCCATGTGTCCCCTAGTGTCTGTGTCCCCATGTGTCCCTTAGTGTCTCAGTGTCCCCTAGTGTCTCAGTGTCCCCAATGTGTCCTCTAGTGTCTCAGTGTCCCCATGTGTCCCCTAGTGTCTCAGTGTCCCCATGTTTCCCTGCTGCCTTTCCCCCGATCCCTCACTTACCTGAGCTCTAGAGCTGCTGTCTGGACTCTCTGTGCTGTGTAGCTGCTCCCCCACGGATCAGTGAGTAGTAGAGAGAGGCAGGGATATTCTGTAAATTCCTATCCCTGCCTCTCTTTACACACAGTGACCCCTACTGGCCGGTGCTGGTATTGCAGAGTAATTTCCATTTATTCTGAGAAAATTACCTGCATTTGTACTGCTGGTATTACTGCAATACCGGCATGGCCAGGCAGCCTCAAATACCGTCTGTACCATTAAAATACCAGTCAGGTGGCAAACCTAAGAGTAGTGTGTAAAAAAAAGAAAAAAAAAATTTTTTTTTTTTTTTTTTAAATGGGCCTATTCCATGGGCCTGGGCCTGGAGCTGCAGCTCCATCAGCCCCTATGTTAATCCGGCCCTGGTTGTACTTGTGTTCCATACCCTGTGCTTCACTGTCTGATTGACTAATTCAGCTCTTTCTGTATGTAGGAACTTGTAGGACGTCTATGTTTTTAAAAGGTTATTGATTGTTCTCCGTGAAAGACCACTACAAGATCACATTTCCAAGTTGGTGAAAAAAGATAAAGGACAAACACATATATATGTATTTGAATCAGTTGTTCTTTGTTTAGAAGAACACTTTAACCACCATAAGTACTACAGCTCTTTGTATTCACTGTACACACAATTTATGACAAGAACAATTTTGTGTGGTTTAACAAAAACAGGGGCTTTGGTACCTGTACCTACAACTTTGACCTTTGTGACCTTTTGCTGGACACAGAAAGAGAATCTCACAAGTATAAATGTGTTAAAGGGCCTGATTTTCTTGTACAGTCATAATTTCACAGCTTGCGGGAATAAAGCAAGTTAATCTGAGATGCAGTTGTATCTCTGAGATGATCCCAGGATAATCATGTTAACAAATGCAGTGACTCATAAACTCCAGAACATTTATTTCATTAGCCCTGTAGGTCTCTAGTGATGAAGCTCACACCCAGCCTTAAGACTGAAATGAGTAATAGCATAGTGTAAGAGGTCTATTGTTAGTCTTCATGTAAGGAATTTTATTTAGTAAAAATCTGAGATTTGCAAATGGGTTTATACATGTTCCTAAGAATATTCTAGTGGGCAAAAAATCAACAATACATTAAATCAGTGCTTGCAAACCCCATTCTACCTACTAAAAAACTGCCAACTAAATTTCAAGGATGTTCATAGATAGGGTATCCTTATATTTAAGAAATGGTATGTTTCTTAGAACTACCATTGATACATTGGAAAGGGTAGAATTAACCAATTTGGAACCAGAAAATAGTAGCAAAATGTTACTTTCCATGTCTGGTGTAGACCCCACAGTGTTCAACAGGTACGGTAAAAATAACTAGTGAGAAATTCAATGCCTGGATCCCCAAGGCCACTTTACTTAATGGTCAAAGTGTGTTTTTGAGTTGAACCACAGACAAAGTGGGCTGATCTGCTACTAATAGTCATTGGTACTTGTTCTGTATGTGTTGTAGGACTTATTGTCTGCTCTATGGTGCTGGAAAGGAATAATGTCTGTCATGAAATGCATGTAACACGGTGAGCTGGTTTCAACATGTCTTTATTGCAGAGCGTAACGTGAGGCGAGACACAATCTTCAGCAACAGGAATTACATTTGAAAAACGACAGTTAGTTCCCTAAGCCATGCCTAGCCCCGCCCCCTTTCTGTGATGTCACTCAGACTCTCATCACAATGTCTTACTCCATTTCCTTTGTCTTTCTTGCTCTGCAGCCATTTTGCATGTTCAACTCTTCAATATGCACACAGCACTGAAACACACATTGGGAGTTTATTTTTGTGTTTTTGTGATTTAGTCACTAACATGTTGTTATAACTGCTCTTGATGGTGTACTAAGGCTGGTGGTTCAGCTATACACCAACTGAAGTTGTTACTGCTTAAGATGGAGGCTGTATTTCAGGGGTAGGCAAGCTTTGGCACTCCAGATGTGATGGACTACATGTCCCTTGATTCATTTCCAGCATTATGGCTGTAAGAACATTATGGGAGATGTAGTCCACAACATCTGGAGTGACGAAGGTTGCTTACCTTTGCTGTAGTTGATAATTTGATCAGTAGAGTAGGATTCTTACTCCTGTAACAGCCGGGGTCCCAGGGCGATACTGTAATCCCCGCATATTTGATATAAAGAGGGTCAGTCAGGGTGCATACCTTGTATCTCCTTAAAAGTATTTATTTTTACCTGTGGGGGGGTGTAGAATATTGCATATTCTATGTTTCTATTGATTATATATATGGATGTGTGGATTGACATAAGTAACAGATGGTATCAATAAGTCACAAGGCTTTCTTTGTCCGAGAGCTCTGGAATGTGGATTCGGGGGTCTTGTCCTTATATGGCTAGAGGTAAACGCTGACGTTAGTATTAGCACTTCTATATAGTAACAGAGGGACACGAAGTCTCTGTCTTGGTTTGAGTCTTGGCTCTGTACAACGATGTAACTCTTCCATCAGAAGTCCAGCAATTACCATCTGCTGTTGAATGTCCATAATCCTGTAACATCCTTTATTATGTATCCGTAACAAAGAATAAACCTGAAGAAACCGTAAGTCAGATTGCGTATTACTACTTTTCAATAATATAGACATATATTATTGTGGCGAGCATTTGGCCCAAGACTATATATACAAAAGACGTATATATATCAATCAACTGAAGATAAGAAGAAATTAAGAAGAATCAACATGAACATCCATTCATCTACATTTTTTACAGGGGGTATATATGCATTGTTACTAACCACCATGTAACATTATACTTTGCCCTCCACTCCCTCTGTTTCACAATTTGCATGGAAGCTAAGGGCGGGTACCATTATTAAATGTATGAAATCACAGTGGTAGTGGTTTCCTTTTGAATAGCACCTTTCACTCTCATTATTATTTGTATATCAGCTATAATATTAAATGGTGCTTTTAGCGATATTTTGCGAGTCTGATGTAATATCTTGCTTTATTGTGTGAGACATAAAGTAACATTAATATCTAGTGACAAACAAAACAGTGAGCTTGTGACTCTCCCTATCTATTAGCAACCAGATAATTCACCAAAAAATCTATTACACTACACATCCATTTTGAAGCATAAGTCAATCTGATTATCCTTAGATGACATTTTAGATAATTTAGTACATTTACAAAAAATATCCCCTCTGCAGGCAGTGTTGAATTAAAGCCTTGCTTATGGGACTATTAGGAACCTCTCTAAGTAAGTATCCAGTATGGATACAGGGTTCACAGGCTGCAACCTTAGCAAGAGATGCAATTGCTTAACAGAGTAGACAGGTGGAAAAGGGAATTGAGCAAGTTAATTATTTAGTGAGCCAAATAATGCTGATCGAGCTAATGACATGTTGGAGCAACTACAAGATGCTTATCCAGAAAGAACAATGGAGTTCCACCTACTAACTTTTCCTTCTTTGCAATTTCAGTATCAACATATGCATGTTACAGAAGCCACTCAGTGGAAGGAAGCATTAAAAGATGAAGTTGACTCCTTTACCTAAAGATAAAAAAAAGGGCATAGGTTACAAGTGGGTGATTCCAGCAAAAACTAAATGCAGATGGAAATGCAATGAGACAAAATCATTGAAAAGAGACATTTTTGAGAAACTATGCTATTAGATAAATTAGGTGTGTTTAAGTAAGGCACCATCAATAAGGGGATTGTTAATAAATCTTGTGGTGCCTGACCTCTATGTGTTGGAGAACTTGCTCTACGGTCTCTATGGTACTTGATAAGTAGTATGTTGTCTTGTCTTTCTACTCTTCCTCTCTCCCTCTGAAGCCATTTTGCCTCTCAGATTTTTATATATATACCCTGCCCTGACCACTACAAGCTGCTGCTGTGCTATCCATCCTCTGGTGGATTCAGGAGGTGCAAGCATGTCACCAGTGCCAACTTTGAGTGGATGCCAGACTAGCTTTGCTCTTCCACTTGCTCTCTGTTAAGCTTGGGTGCAAGTAAATGGTGCTCAGCAGAACCATTCACATTGGGCCACTTCTTGTCAGACTGCCCTTGCTCCAAACCTCCTAAAAGCAGACTGTGAATAACAAGCAGCTTTGAAAATAATGTTATAACTGTTCTTGTAGAACAGTGCGCACATATACAGGTCGAGATACACGTTTAAAAATAAGCAATTTAATTAATGATGGTTAAAATTTGGCAATAATTAATGTCTACCTTGCCACAAATTATCCTTTTTCTTCATCCGTGGATGGTGGGTAGATTTTGTGCTGGAAAAGTGCATATGTTCTCTGTGACTGTTCACGTTTCAGTCTTGACCATCTAGTTCACTTACCCACCCCTGTAAGTAGAGACAGATCACATACACTAAGCTGCTATAGTCGTGAGAAAGGTTGACATTTCCAATGGGCACATAGTAATCTGGACACATGGTCCACATTTGAAATACCCTTTTAATTTAGGAAGACCTTAAGCATATGCATTGAAACAAACAGAACAAAAGGTGTGAGACTGCTGAGAACGGGAAAAAATACGTTTGAGTTAGCCTCTGCTCTCATCTCAAACAAGTTTAACATAAATCAATCATACTGCACCTATATACATACTATTACTCACCAATACATATAACATATGTAGTTAAAGCATCACCATTAAAAAGAAACATTTATATCCACTATCGAGCAATGCAATGAAATCACAGTGCCATAAAACTGCCACCAAAAATGATGCTGCATTAAAAAGAAGGGATATGGTTGGAGAGGCTTGGGAGTTGGTAGCCTTTTAGGGTTAATGTTCTTTAGGATTTGGATTGGTTTGGAGTTGGAATTGCATGTAGACTAATAATTATGGGTTTTGGTGTAAAACACCATAGGGCCTTGAAGGCATGGTCCCCCTAATATTCCTTATCTTATGACCCCCAGCTTAAACCTATACATACCCTAACCTAAGTTCCCCTAAACCTCTACTTTACAGGCCCATTTAATGATGTGGCTATTTTGCATTCCTCTAGTTAAAAGTAACTTTTTAACCTGATGTTTCGGAGTTTAGTTTTTAAAGTGGGCTCATCTAACACACAACACCCACCCAGCTTGCATTCATTTGACATCATTCAACTCTACAGTGCCCCTATAGGCTACATCAGTTTTACAGATCCCAAAGTGTTGGATTCCCACATGGCTTCATTGATGCAGATTACTGCTGTTTCTGGCACACTGCCAAGGACCTTCACAAGAATGTGGTCCATTCAGTTAGGGACACAACCTTGAGATTTATGTCCACAGATGCTGTATAGCCCCTGGCAGGGAATCAACAGTGCAAATATATATCCTCCATTCTCTAATAACTAAGCTCAGCACCTGTGCCTCTTCTTTCTCCTCAGCTATAGTTTTGCCACAGGTTTTCTTGGCACAGTGAATAGACTCGGGATTGTATCCTCTTAATTGTATGATTCTTGTTTACATTGCAAAGCATTCTGCTTGACATTAAGACGACTTGTTTTATTTAAGTGACAGCAGATGTGGCTTTTCAGTACCACTGAAACACTAGGCACCCAGACCAATTCAGCTCATTGAATTGGTCTGGGTGCAGTGACTCTGTCCCCTTAACCCTGCAATGGTAATTATTGCAGTTTGTGAGAAACTGCAAAAATTATATTAAGACTGCCTCTAGTGGCTGTAAATCAGACATGCATGTGCATTAGCAGCACCCTTCCCTTTTTCCCTGTCGGGTGAAGTTTTAAGGGGGTGGAGCACCGAGGACAGCATTGAAAATGGGGTGGGAGGGCACGAGGAAACTATAGTGCTAGGAATACAACTTTGTAGTCCTAACACTATACTATCCCTTTAAGAGGGTTTCTTACCCTATGTTATACAGATTCACTTCTGCGATTCCACAACTACAGAAAGACATGAAAGCCAAGACTTTATGCATATATTTGATTATTTTTTTGTGTATGCCTTATTCTAATTTATCCTGTGCCTACTGCTGAGATATAGGCTGATTAGGAGATGTTCTTCAATTAACTAGTAATTGCTGCTCTCACGTGTCTGATACATTTTCATTGTGTGTAATGCTTTGAGCTACCTAATAAAAATAAATGTAAAAAATATTTCATGATTAGCTTAACACTATTTTTGGAAAATAAATAATGTACTACACAATTAATGACACAGGAGGTTAATTTTAATGTTTCTACCTCTGCTAATAATTACCTCAGATGTATCCAGAGAATGCCCTTTAGATTGTAAGCTCACGGATATGGCAATATACCTTTTAGACTGTTTTGTCTTTTTCCCAAATGTAAAGCACGGCAAAATATGTTGGCACTTTATAAATGCCAGTAATAAATAATTGTCAACTTAAAGGGTTAACTCTATGACCACTTCTGCTTTTATAAGTGGCCATGGTGGTAGGAGACTGTGTGTGTGCAACGTTTGAGTTGAAACACTGCACATACTGAGATCTTTGCATTTTGGTGTGGGGGCTAGTAACACCCCCGCACACGTTACTTTGGCAGTTCTGATCTTTGTTCCGGATTGCCAAATGTCAATTCTGTGCAAAAAATACGTCCGTCATCAGCACGCACTGTATGATGAGAACAAACATAACTAGTTTCTCTCTTGCAGGCAGAGCATTCATCTCCCCTCCTTCTCTCCCACTCTAAATTTAAGTCCCCCTACCATCCTACCACTGAATATTTTTTTTGTTACAATTCCTCCTCTCTACCTCTGTCTACCCCCTACCTCCCCTTACTGGCTCAGAGTATGCGCATGCACTCTGAGCCAGTCAAACAGTCCAACCAAATACATCTGTATGAGTAGCATTTGATTGAACCAAGGAGGGGAAGTGAGTGACACTTTGTGATGTCAGTCGGGGCGTGGAAGACCCTTACCCAACACTGGATTCCAGATGAGGTTTGACTGGTTTTTTTTTCTGCAGTAAATGGGAGAGGTGATCTATTCCATAGTGCCCAATAGGTACTAATGCTGACATATTTAAGTCAATAAACTATTTTGCTAGGGAAAGTATTAATTTGCTTAATATTTTTATCTGAAAAAAATCTTACTTAGATTTGCAATATCTGTTAACATTGGTCAAAGTTGCCACAGGATTTATTCCACATTCTTATTATCAGGAAATCTCTAAGTTGGCTATGTGCTAAACCTATGTAAAACATATGAATGCATTGTGCTGATGGTGCATTCAATAATAACCCAAAACAGCCAATCCAAAATAATGAAAGATAGAAAAGATTTTTTTTTTATGTAAATGATCATACATTACATTATCAGCCTTGAGCAGAAGTCAAGTTGCCATGATAACATTTTAAAAATGTTAAATATATAAAGGATAGAAAATTAAAACGTGGTGTTTGCCCTCTCGCGTTACATTGCACACAGATACCCCTGTTTAAAAGAAGGCAATGTATTCATTCAAAGTAGTGCTCCTTGGGGTATCTAAGTATTACTAATCTGGAGTACTATTTACACCCCCAATTACATAAATTTGTATTAGTGTCATAAGATAACCAGTCATATTGAACATTTGACAAGAGTAACTTAAAACTATCTCCTTTTCTTTCCTTAAGACAGACTT